CCCCCCCGGCCCCCCGGCATTCCCATGCGGGTAAGAGTAGGTATCCGTGTTGCTGCATGGCAATACCATCCGTGCGGTTCTAAGCCCAGTTCGTCCAAGGCCGTCTTGACGAGGGCCAGACGGTCAACCATCGCACCTCTGTCAGACTATCCGCGGTGCGCCACCAAATTGTGACAGGCTCATGCATCGTCATGCATCTCAATAGAGCACCAGTCAGAAAACAAGCAGCTCTGAGCAGCATGCAAATGACCAAGCACTGACCGCTGACAAGAATGCCTCATCCGGACATTTGCTTAGCCGATTGCGGCTTCGAAACTGTACATACTGTACGGAAGCGAAGTTCTTTTGGTTACTTCCCCGCATGTTTGGCAACATAGGTCGTGAAGCCTCACCGGAACTACTCCGTACGGCTCTATAAAATCACGTTAGCGAACAATGTTATTCGAATCGAACTCGAAAGAACGCAGAGGACAGCCACACGAAACGCCCCCATTGTATGCCACGAATTAATACCACGTGACATTCGTTGTCACAGTAAGGTACTGATACTCCAATATGTAGCCCCTCTTGTAGCTTCCGCGTTACGTATGTCACTTTCCTGGCGAAAGACATCTTGTGGTATTAATAAAGAGAAAGTTCGGAATTTAGAAACTGCTTATCTGTCACGTCAAAAAGATGAGGCATAAATCGATAAAAGTGAGTGGGATCATAAAATGTATGTACAAGGGTTGCGCGGTGCAAGGAAAATGAGGTACGAAATGCAACGTACAATAAATAGGTACGTAGCTACCCTTGTCTGTGAGCTTTGACCCCTTGACCCACTCGCTGTCAGACTTTACGAGTCACTCCCAAGTGTAGCCGACAGTCACTTCTCACTTTTATCAAACGGCTTGGTTTATGTCGGTAGCAGCATCGGTAAGGTAGATTATCAACTGTCAAGATCGTTATTGTCATCGTGCCTCACGCGGCACATCTCTTGATGGTTATCTTAGAAACTTCCATGTCCCGCCTCGCGGCCTCGATGACACCGTTTCAGGTGAATTCGGCAGTGGCCGGGAACGCAAAGACAGCCTGACTGCCGTGTGCCTCAACGGAATCGACCCCGGTAGACTATTCCCAGATGTGGTGCACAGTACATACGAAGCTTACCCAGGTGGAAACCTGAGCAACCCGCACCGAGAATAAGAGCAGGTCAGATCTAAGTTCTATTCGCACTTTGGTACAGCCCCAGCATCTGAGGTCCATGCGTACATAGATGCCAGTCTTGCTGCGTACGGTACGTGCTCATGACAAGGTCCATTACAGAGTAAGATAGTGTCGATTCGTAGGGGGTGACTTACCTAATTATGGATTCGTAGAAGAAGAACCAAGACGGCTCCCCACGAAGGCATCCCCACCCTGTACGAAGTACCTCATACATTCCTCATACATAATTGGGATGGCTGGATGGCTCGGGAGGAGACCCTTGTCACCCGGCCCTCAGCTCCGGCGATGATCTGATTGGCTTCATGAAGCAACCCGCATCCTCCCTGTTCATAGATCGCCCAGGGTCGCTTGCGAGTTGGCTCCTTGACATCAAGCCTGGGCCTATCGCAGCAGAGAGGACCGTTCTTCAAGAGGTACGAAGTACTTGAAGGTGAATCGGTGATGTATGTACCCCGTGCTTCACGCCCTCTATCTAAGATAGACATGGCCGTCAGAGTCCTTACCTTGGTACGTGCTTCTTATGTGGTTTCAGAGAGGCCTTCCAATGTCAGGTATTAATTAATACTGCGCCCTACGACTGTCCGTTTGGGTCCCAAACTACCTAATCTTGATTCCCTCATAATTAATTGTCAACTCCCGAAGTAGGTAGGTACAACGTATAATCGGCTGAATAATGATCTACCGAAGATCAACAAAGGAGCTTGGAGCTAGAACCACAAAAGCGTTTCGTCTCATCTTTCGTCTGGTCTCTGGCAGAATCGCATATATCTCGCATATGTAACAGAGTGCCGCTCCGCTGCGGAATGCGCTGCTCATGCAATGCGGACCATCTCGCTGCCAGTTCTTCTCCGCGCCCCCTTTTTTTTCTTCTTTTCTTGTCACCCGTTTCTTCCCAAATAAAGTGTCGACGCCCCACGAGAGAGGAACTGGCGGGTCCGATAAAGCTCCTTCTCCGATTCAGGCTACTAATCCTGAACAGGAAATCATGTCCGCTACCGTGTAACAGCCCTAGGCTATAGAATACAGTATTAAGTACGAGGTAATCCTACCAAGTCTCCAAGAAATGGAACAAAAACTGGAGCAAATCGGGGGAATTTGAGCCAACAATGTCGAGAAAGCCCCGAGTGTCGAGAAGTGTCTGGGTCAAGCTGCTACAGTAGGTGTTGGTCTGGCACCTCAAGGAACCCGGCCTCTGCCCTCCACATTCTCTCAGTTGATGGTCTGTCTTCAGATCTAGTTTAATGGAATGTGCAATAATTATCTACGGAGGTATGTACTCTATCGTAATTGTATTTCCAAAGCTCTTTCACCGCTTCTCTTCCGCGAGGTTACATTTCAGGTGAGTTTAGGATGCTACCAAGTGCGTTTATCACCTTGCCTGCAACCTGTCAGGAGGAAGTCCGGTAGGAAAAGAAGTGTTTAACGTGTTATCGTTGTGTTACAGTCGGCAAAGAGAGACAGGGAGAGAGAACCCACACCCCACTGATGATCTCCGATGAGAAGTCAACAAGGCCACGGCAAGACGAGGTTATGCACCGACAATACAGGCCCCTGACCAGGTCTAGCATGGAGGGAAGATTGACATGTCAGTTTATAGAGTTCTTGGCTTCTGGTTTACTTCGTACACTTTTGTCGTGGGATCTCTGCACGGACCAACGGCGAATGCACGGCCTTGATGTTTCGATGCGTTTTGCCTTGCAGGTTTGCAGCTACAAGGTACAAAGGAAATGTTTCGAGTTGTATCGGAGTACGTTGTACAACGTATGCAGAGGCGAGGTCCAGGGTTGCCCAGGCACCTGGCTATATAACTCGTGCAGATATTGACAGGCTTTATCCAAGAGATTCTCCGCCGTTCTTCTCCCCCCTTTCTTCCCGGGAGACCCTGCTAGCGCCCTTCCGGCGAGTGTTCGCTTCGGGGCGAGAGCAATGGCTTCGCACGTCAAGCGGACGGGAAATCACGTTGTAGGTATTCCCGACTTTTACCACAAAGGCACTCCAGACTGCATGACGAAGAGCATTTTGTGACCATCAAGGTACGCGGCGTTTGTGACCCACTGGAGTTGGCTGCGCGAAGTGGGAGGTAGTGCTGCAAGTTCGCTTGTCGTTACTGACGTAACCCTAATGCGGGGGTTTGAAGCCGCCATCAACGGAGCCGTACATAAGGTACTTCATTCTTCGTTGACACACACATACAAGATCATCTCGCGTCGCCATCGGAGCAAGGGCAACACAACCGCGATTAAAAGCTGCCTTGTAATAATTAACTATGAAGCTTCTACCGGACGATGAGAGGAAGTTCGCATGTTCTGTTAGCGCGACGCTATCTACGTACTGCACAGATTAAATTACCGATCTTGCCCCGCGATGACTGGTCTAAAAATGTTGCCAAAACGCTCGTCATGACCTGTCGTCTGATCAGGAAAGCCTGGCCCGTGTGTAAGATACTGGTGAGACAACCGATCGCGTGGGAATTATAAAAAATAAAACCCCTGTTTCTGGTCCATATAAGGCTGCCATCTGCAGTTTTGATCTATTACTCGTGGAGGCTCGTTCTTCGTCTTGCTAACGGGATGGAACTTGGTTCACTGCAGTCGGTGGCCGGGCAGAGACATACACTTCGTACCTACAACGTACAGCAGCATCTCGCTTTGCAAAAGTTTGCATCCCCCGCAGCAGACAAGCAGGTACAGAGCATTGTTTACTGCACAGTTTCGCACCTTATGTTGTAGCTCAGTCGCCGGAAATGTACCTACTGTAATTATTGCGGGGAGAAGAACGCGACTTGTGTGGGTTAGGTATTATCTACGGACAATATGGACCTGCCGGAATTACAGAATGCTTACGCAACACTTTGTAGTGGGGTCACTCCCGGGACCTGCATTAGCGCGAGCGACACTAATACCACCGTGGTGGACTCTGATCAGGCCACATCGGCCAATCTTCGAAGTGCTGGCGAATGACCAGTGATAAGCTTAGAGGCAAGCCACACAACGCCCATACCACTTGAATAGTCACCCTCGACAACTGTTACTCGTGCCACGCCCCAAATCCCATGCTAGGTGCGGGGACTGAGCCGTGGTCGCTTTTACGTGAGCCTTCGGTGGCCCAGGGTGAGCACGGGGTAAGCTCCCCCCCCCCCCCCTGAGCCGAACCCTCGGCGTTGTTTCAGCATCAGGTACAATCCCTACACGATTTTTTCTTCCTTTCTTTCTGTTTTGGAAGAGGGGGAGGGATTATATGTAGGTCAAAGCTTGAACAGAGGATTTTGCTCTGGCCAGAGCCAGTTCAGTGGTATAAGGTAGCTATCAACACAAGCTCCAAGTCTTTACGACAGACTAACTAATTATCGGGCTCTGATATCCCCGAACCCGGGCAGGCTGTTATTTCTTCAGCACTGCCCAGTCCGGTCAGAAATTTCTTTGCCAGAACAACCCGCCAGAGGGAGCTGGTCGCCCGACACCAGGACCACGGAATCTAGGTCAGATAGCCGCCATCCAAAAAGCCTCTGTGGGAACTTGGCAGCCTCATTAATCCTATCTTGCAAGCATGCATTCAGCCAACCCCAACGAGGTTGCGCGAAGAGCCGAGAGAAGCATGATCGCGTCTGGTCTATGATAGCTCGAGAATCCCTTCCTGGTAATTAAGTGGATGCTTCGTGGCCCACGCCTCAAGAGGTTCCAGTGGCTTCACGAAGCATGGGATACGCAGCAGCACGATTTGAGGTGGAGTAGGTCCAGCATGTACACTCCAGCCCCCGAAGCTTCATGCCGTGATGGGTTTCGAGGGCCTCAGCCAACACTGAGCGTTTCGATGATACCGAGCAATCCGAAAGAATGCCGACCCGTTGATTGTGTCAGTCGGCGCGCCTTGCCATTCCGTGTTGACGTGGCTATTATCGGCCGGAGCGGGGCCAGTCTGTCATCCGACGTCGTATTCTAGGCCCCGACGACGAAGGGCTCGGTGGCTGAATGCCGGTGAGTCAATGGAATGGTAGTCCGCAACGACTCGACTCGCAATCCGGTCGCAAGTCCGGATTGCGCCGTTGGGGGGCTGGTCTATTCGGCGTGCAGCCTGTCTATCCGCAAAGCTTCGTAGTCCGATACTTGCGGCGAGGGGTTTGACAAAAAGACATCGAGTGTCACGTGTGATGAGACTCGGACATGACTAAGCAGCCTCTCCCAGTCTAGCTTTTTCCAGCCGAGCTGGCGGAACGGCCCATGTCGCGATGACATTTAGAACTGTGTAGATCTCCGAATTTACACATTAAATGGGAATGTCCCCGGCGTCATCCCCTATCTTCTGATCGGCCGATCAGGGTTTGCGGGAGACAGATGCTGACCACGCGGTCGATCCATACACACGACGAGATGATCACGGCTTTGGTCGGCGTACCTACTCGGCTCCGAACGCACGATATATTCTCTTTTCCTGGAGTCCAGAGCATATGTTAATAAAGACAGGCCGAAGCGGCGCCGCCAAACCGGAGGCAGGCAGCGACGCCGCGTTTACTACTATAATTATGAAACATCTCGGACGCCCAAAGAATGTCGTAATCATCATAGCGGTGCATTGAATGAGTCGATCACTTCCTATGTTGTGCACCTCTTGAGAAATACTCAGCGTCTGGCTATAAATGTTAAGTTCCTTGACACCTCTGGGGCGACTTCAGGGCATAGAGACCCAGGCGGGAATATAACTGTCTGCAATTCAGATATGCTTGCCTGGCATGCTGCACAATCGTGGTGCACTGGTATCTGCCTCCATGAGCTCCACCGAATAAGCAGAATGACAACAACAAACAGCCAATCAGCCAACCACCTGTTCACATTCCACCATAATGCTCAGTGTGCTCGCACAACCGTATCTCGCCATCTTCAATAATCATCAACACGGCGTCGGCTCACGTGTGTCAGCCTCACCTCAATGATTCCATCCGACAAGTTTCTGAGACTTCCTGGCTCGTCTTCAACACCGCTCTTCTGACCCATTCCCCATTGCAAACCCCAGACCATATTCCCAACGGCCAAGCATGCTGGAGCGACGGCCACGAGGGCCATTTCACCTTGTCTGCCGCACCAAATCCTCTTCCCGATTCCGACGCTCTCGCCGAAGACTCGACGCTGATCTCGCTAGTCCATGCTGTAGACAACCAAGCTGCTGTCTGGCGGGCGGGCGAAGCCTTCATCAAAGCACACCACATGGAAGTATCCCCATGTCACTGGAGAGCATGTGACTCTCCAATTTCTCAACGAGAAACAGCCCCAGGGGTTCGCCTTTCCGACTGTACTTTACCAGTTTGAGAACCGAGTCCCGGTACTTTCTAGTTGCGTCGAAAGTTCCCGGGCAACTGCTCGATGACGCTTGGCCCATCTTGGATGAGCCCCTCTGGCAGCACTGCATTTGCAAGGTCGCAGGTGTATGTGCTCAACTTGCAGCATGGAAGGGAAGTACCATTAGTGGCGTAGCATGGGCATCAGCTGCTCGAGCGGTATCTCGTCAAAAGGTAACAACAAGCTTGCCGATGCGATGCCCTGTCTCCCAGGCAGCTCCTGGACAACTGTACCAGCATGGCCATGGACGTCTCCTCGTTCGTCTTCTACCACTGCGATCTGGTTCAGAGAGAGACCCAACAGTATTCGAACGATGTGCCTTGCTGATGGCGGCGGCTCAGAGGCAGGCTCTCTTGCCCTCCAGTTCCAAGACCATCCTTTCGTCATCACACATGCCCTTGGCTCGATAGCGGCCTCTCAAGGTTGATACCTACGTATGCTCTTCCATAACCTTGGCTTGTTATTATGGTTATTCTCGTTGTTATATGACGATCTTCCTTGACCGACGCTCTAGTCCTACACTTCCCACATATTATTTCAAGCCCCCCAACCTCCTCAGAATCTCAGTTTCCCATGAAGAGTTCTCCCATAAATAGAGAGCCCCAGCAGATAGAATGGGGCCGTCTATCCTGAACTAGCTTGTTCCAGCGACGCCGAGATCCTTTTCGACCAAGGCCCTGCAAATGGGATGGTAAAAGTCGCGGTTCTTCTCGAGGGTCTTCAGAGCGAGCGGCCGGTCAACCTTGTTGAGGGCCCTGAATAGTGGCCGGACGAACTTCATCCTGCCAACCTGACCCAGGTGCTCGGCAACGCCCTCGTAGCAGCTGGTGTCCTGGGCACGAAGCGCGACTTTGTAGTACGCTGACTTGATCTCCGCATTCTTGGAAGAGGCAAAGCTGTACACCTTGCCCAGCAGCTCACTCTTCTCAGGGGCCAGGGGCTCTTCGAACTTCTCCACGGCTTCCAGGAGCACCAGCTTCTGGTTGCCGGTGAAATCCTCGACGTCCTTGGGGCTTGGTTCGAAGTCCTATTATTTGGAGCGTTAGTGATGTCTCCTCTTTTTTTTTGGGGTGCCGCGTAATTTACCTTGTTCCTCCACTGTTCGGCGAGCTTGTAGCACACGTCAACGCGAGATGTGTCAAACTGTGGTTTCGGGGGCAGGCCCGGCTTATAGAACCATGCATCCCAGTCAATCTCGGCGATCTTGTTCTTGATGGACTCATCGCCAAAGTTGCCGAAGAAGTCGAGGAAGGTGTCCTTGAACTGGAAGGAGTCGAGCGACTTCCTGGACCACTTGGTGAAGTAGTGTGGAATGAACTTATCAAAGTTGTCCCGTCCCACGAGGCGCTCTAGGTAGTACACAAAGTGGAATCCCTTCTCGTAGGGCACGGTGCTGAAGGCGTCATCGGGCTCGATACCGTCGTGATTGATAATCAGCTTCGTAAATTCGTGATCATGACCGAACAGGTCCACGGCGTCCTCGAGGGCCTTCCAACCGATGATGGCGGAGAAGTCTCTCTCGGCATCACCGTGCAACGCCATGCCAATGCGCCGTTCGAGGTAGATGGTCCACCCCTCGTTGAGCCACATGTGCTCCCAGCTGGCGTTGGTTACCAAGTTGCCGCTCCAGGAGTGGCTCAGCTCGTGGGCGATGACGTCCACGTTCTGGCGATCGCCGCTGATGAGCGTAGGCGTCGCGAACGTGAAGATGGGCTGCTCCATTCCGCCGTAGGGGTAGCTCGGAGGCGTCACCAGGACGTTGTATACACCCCATTGGTACGGGAAGACGAGCTTCTCGGCCACCTGGATGAAATCCTCCACCCCGTCGAGCTCCCACTGACATGCCTTCAGTTCTTCCGGCCCGGTGGCGACGACGCTCCTGGGACCAATGGGTGCGGTGGCAATATCCCCGGAAGCAAGGCCGAACAGGTACGTCGGGATGGGGACTTTCTGTTCGAACTTGTACAGCTTGTCGTTGCCGTCGCCGTCGCCGCCTTTCTCTTTCTCTTCGGGCGTCTCGACGGGGACGCCGCTGGCTACGACAGGCAGGGCCGAGCGGATGATGAAGGTGAAGGTCGACTTGACATCGGGCGTGTCCTGGCAAGGGAATATGGAACGGCAATGGATTGCCTGGCATTGCGAGTACACGTACGGATGCTTCTTGTTCGAGGTTTGGGCCGGGGTCAGGAATTGGAGCGCGGTGCATTTGTTGGTGGTCTCGACACCGAGCTCGACTTGAACAACGGAACCCTTGGGCGCGCCTTGGGGAACGGAGATGTGAAGAGGAGAGCCGTAGGGACCTACGGGGTCCTTGATCTCCCATGCGGCGGCGGGGGCCGAGTTGACCTTGACGTCTGATATGCGGACGTGGTTCGAATCTAATATGATCTCCTTGCTCTGCTTGTCCGTTAGGGACTCGAGGTCCAGCGAGATTGTTCCTTTGACGGCTTTCTCGTGGAAGTTGATAGAGATGTTGACCGTGGTGTGCTTGGTGAGCCACTCATGGTAGTTGGAGAGGGTGCAAGGGTCGCGTTTTGCCATGTTTGCGTATGTCCGGGAAGCTCGAAATGTGGCTGGATGGAACGAGGTAATGGTACGTCTAAGCGTGGCCGTTCCCTGTGAGACGATGGACCGCCACATTTGCTTGTTGTGGTCGGGTTAAGTGCCTAGGTAGGGAAGGGGGTGAGGGGTTGACAGGTGGGAGAGCCCACGCTGCTCGTTATTCGTTCCTTCAGCGCCCGAAGTGAGCCTGTGAATGGTGAATGGTGAAACGTGAAATGATGGAGTCAAGCTGAGTCAGCAATGGGAACACACACCCCGCCAGTTCCGCTCAAGCGACACTAGCGGCACGTGAAAGACCCACCATAACTTATCCCAACACTTATCCAACACAGCACCGGGTCGCGCTATCTGAAAGACGTGTAATCTCGACTGTTGACACTGTTGACAGCAACTGCCCCCTTGATTTCTCACACCAACATTGACGACACCGACCTCGACCTTCGTCTGCAGCAACTCCCGCCCTAGACTGAGCGACGACACATCGTTTTCACAAAAAAATAAATTACGAATATTTACGACAGTCTCTCTTGTTATTCCTACGCTTACTCAACGCCGTTATACCGCACTGCGACGTGTCCCGTCTTTTTCTCTCGTTTTTCCTCCTCTCTCCCTGGAGTATCCCGTTTTATCAAGGGAGGATGATTACGCCAAGGCCGTGAAAAGCAGGGCTTGGAACGTTTATACATACGTCTATACATGGGAACATCTTGGGGCATCGCTACAACATTGACGCGACGTTCAGGGTTGGGGTCGAGGGTCAAAAGTGTTATTGGGGTCTCTTCGGCTTGGCCACCGCCTGGTCCTCGCACACCGTGGTCACTCGTTCACTGCTGCGCTTCTTCGTTGGATAAAGGGGAACCTGGAAAGGTTCCCTTCTCGTCGTCAAGATGGCTCCAGCAGGGGGCGGCAACATCAAGGTGGTGGTGAGAGTGAGGCCGTTCAATAGCAGAGGTAAGGTCGTGATCCAGGGGATGGGATCTGGGGGCGTCTGAGTCCCAGGTCGCCGAATTACGTCGCTTTCTGGTATGGTATGGTATGGGAGTCAATTGACATGCGCGCAGAAATCGACCGAGGCTCAAAATGCATCATCGAAATGAAGAATAACCAGACCATCCTGTCCCAACCGCATGGTGGAAAGGAGACCGGTCAGAAAGTATTTGCATTCGACAAGTCATACTGGTCTTTCGACAAGAAGGATCCGCACTATGCCGGGCAGAACAACCTTTTCGACGATCTAGGCAAGCCGTTGCTGGACAATGCTTTCCAGGGGTACAATAATTGTATTTTCGCCTACGGCCAGACCGGGTCCGGGAAATCCTATTCGATGATGGGATACGGCAAAGAGAGTGGCATCATTCCCAATATTTGCCAGGAAATGTTCACAAGAATCGAGCAGATGCAGGCGGACGCCACCCTGAAGTGCACGGTCGAGGTGTCGTACCTGGAAATTTACAATGAACGGGTCCGTGACTTGCTGAACCCATCAACAAAGGGCAACCTCAAGGTTCGGGAACATCCATCGACCGGCCCTTACGTCGAAGACCTCGCGAAACTCGTCGTCACCAGCTTCCAGGAAATCGAACATCTCATGGACGAAGGAAACAAGGCGCGAACTGTGGCCGCGACGAACATGAACGAAACCTCGAGTCGAAGCCATGCCGTATTCACACTCATGGTGACACAGAAGAAGATGGACCTCGACACAAAAATGGAGATGGAGAAGGTCGCGAAGATCAGCCTGGTCGATTTGGCCGGTTCGGAAAGAGCCACCTCGACCGGCGCAACGGGCGCACGCCTCAAGGAGGGTGCCGAGATCAATAGGTCGCTCTCGTCCCTGGGCCGTGTCATCTCCGCCCTTGCCGACCTCTCCACCGGAAAAAAGAAGAAGGGAGCAACGACGACGGTACCATACCGAGACAGTGTTCTCACCTGGCTCTTGAAGGACTCCCTCGGCGGAAACAGCATGACGGCCATGATCGCGGCCATCAGTCCGGCCGACATTAACTACGACGAGACCCTCAGCACCCTTCGGTATGCGGATTCCGCCAAGCGCATCAAGAACCATGCCGTGGTCAACGAAGACGCCAACGCCAGAATGATCCGCGAGCTGAAAGAAGAACTGTCCCTGTTGCGCTCCCAGCTTGGGGGTGGCGCTGCGCCCGGCGTGGCAGGTGGTGGTGGTGGTGGTGGTGCATCTGCCGTCGGAGCTGCTCCCGCTGCCGCCGAGGAAGTGTATCCGGAAGGCACCCCCCTGGAGCAACAGTTCGTTACCATTACTGCACCGGACGGAGCCGTGAAGAAAGTGTCAAAGGCCGAGATTGCCGAACAGCTTAGCCAGAGCGAGAAGCTCTTAACCGATCTCAACCAAACTTGGGAGCAGAAGCTGGCCAAGACCGAGGAGATTCACAAGGAGCGTGAAGCCGCCCTGGAAGAGCTGGGAATCAGCATTGAAAAAGGTTTCGTTGGTCTGTCCACGCCCAAGAAGATGCCGCATCTTGTCAATCTCGCGGACGATCCCCTGCTTGCCGAATGCTTGGTCTATAACCTGAAGCCAGGCCTGACCACTGTGGGGGGCATGGAGTCGAGTGGCGATCACCAACCCAATATTCGACTGAACGGAACCAGAATGCTGCCCGACCATTGCGCCTTCCAGAACGCCCCCGATGGGACAGTCACACTGATTCCGAGAGAGGGCGCGTCGGTCATGGTCAACGGCAAGCGGGTCGAAGAACCGAAACAGCTGCACTCCGGCTATCGTATTATCCTAGGCGACTTTCACATCTTTCGGTTCAACCATCCGATGGAGGCAAGAGCCGAAAGGGCGGAGCAGAGCCTCCTGCGGCAGTCTGTCACGGCTAGTCAACTGCAGGGTCTCGACCGGACAACGTCGCCTACGCCGACGGCAAGCCCCCGGCCGGGCCACGTCCGTACTATCAGCTTGGCCAACTCGGATTTCGGTGATAGCCGGCCAGAGTCGCCCATGCCGTTTTCTCGCAATGGCCGCGATTCCGACTGGAGTTTCGCCCGCAGAGAAGCCGCCGAAGCCATCCTGGGCACGAACCAGAACTTGTCGAGCCTCACGGATGAAGAGCTCAACGCGCTCTTCGAGGACGTCCAGCGTGCGAGAGCCGAGCGCGTCAACGGCCGCGAAGGCGAGGATGACTCGGAGTCGGCGACTTCGTATCCCATACGAGAGAAGTACATGTCCACCGGGACCCTAGACAATTTCTCGCTGGATACCGCACTCACGATGCCCTCGACGCCGAAACAAGGTGCCGTGGACGAGAGGCTGCGGGAGGTTCGTGAAGAGATGCAGTCGCAGCTGGACAGACAGAAGGAGGAGTACCAGGATCAGCTCAAGTCGGCCGAGGCGTCAAACGTCGAGGTGGAGGAGATCAAGAAGGAGAAGCTCAAGATGGAGGAAGCCTTGAAAACCCTGAAAGAGGACATGCAGAAGCAACTGGACGTACAGCGCCGGCAATTCGAGGACAAGTTGGACAGGATGGACCCGTTGAAGAGGCCAAAGGCGAACCCAAAGCTCTCGGACGAAGAGATAACAGTCGCTCGGGGCGTCGTCCAGCATTGGAAGAGCCGGAGATACGTGCGGATGGCCGAGGCGGTCCTGCAACACGCGTCGACGTTGAAGGAAGCGCAAATCATGAGCAACGAGCTCGACGTGCAAGTGGTCTTCCAGTTTACCGTTGTTGACGTCGGGCATTCGCTCTGCTCGTCCTACGACATGGTCCTGAACGGGCTGACGGCCGACGGGGACGATGTCGCGCTCGAGGAAGCGCCAAAACCCTGCATCGGCGTTCGTGTCACCGACTACCAGAACAGCGTGGTGCACCTGTGGAGCATCGAGAAGCTCCACGACCGCGTCCGGCAGATGCGGCAGATGCACCAATACCTGGACCAGCCGGAGTACGCGCAGCATCTGAGCCTGGACAACCCGTTCGTGGAGGCGTGCATGCCCCAGTACACCCTGGTGGGCGACGTAGACGTCCCGTTACGAGCTGTGTTCGAAAGCAGGGTCCAGGACTTTACGCTGGATGTCCTCTCCCCTCATACGTCTCATGCGATCGGCATCATCCGGCTCTCGCTCGAACCTTCGCATGCGCGGGCGCCTACCAACACGCTCAAGTTCAACGTCGTGATGCACGAGATGGTGGGGTTCGCCGAGCGCGAAGGCACGGAGGTGCATGCGCAGCTCTTCGTTCCGGGGGTGTCGGAGGAGGATGGGGTCACGACGACGCAGATGATCCAGGACTTTGATGAAGGGCCGATTCGGTTCGAGAGTGTCCATAGCGTGAGCATTCCCCTCTTCAGCGCGCAGTCGATTACGCTCCGGGTCGCCATCTTCGCCAAGGTGTCGACCATGCACCTGGATAAGCTCCTGAGCTGGGACGACATGAGGGACTCGGTGCCTCAATCCCGGAGTACCACGAAAACTAGGGGCGCGAGGATCGCCGAGTCTCAGTTCTTCACGGAAGAAAAACACGACTTGCTGGCCAGGGTACAGATCCTCGAGCTCAACGAGGAGGGTCAGTACGTCCCGGTCGAAGCCACGCAGACGAGCGAGATGGATGCGGGCACGTTTCAGCTGCACCAAGGCTTGCAAAGGCGCATCATGATCAACGTGACGCACAGCTCGGGCGATGCGCTGCCGTGGGACGACGTCACGTCGTTCAAGGTCGGCAAGGTCCAGCTCCTCGACCAGGCCGGCAAGTCGCCCGACATGGCTTCGGCGCCGCCGGACATTGCTCTCAAATTGTCATCGAAGCCCGTGTTCCGACAAAATGCCAACGGCACGCGGAGCATCACGTTGACTGGCCAGTGGGACTCGAGCTTGCACAACTCCCTGCTCCTGGACAGGGTAACGGCGGACAAGTATCGCGTCCAGATGACCGTCTCGTGGGAGATCAAGTCGGAGAAGTTCGCCGAGCCCATGCGGTTTTCCATGGACGTATGCTGCCAAATCATGTCGAGGACGTACGTCCGGCAAACGTCCATTCTCTCTGCCCTGTGGCAGAGCATCCGGATTGTACATTCGGTCAGCGGCATTTTCACGTTGACGATGCGGCCGGCGCCGGTCAAGAGGGTGGGCGATCTCTGGAGAATGAGCAGCCAGCATGACTACGTCAAGGGCGAGGAGCAGCTGACGACGTGGACGCCACGCGGGGTGTCGCTGGTGAGCGATTTCATCATGGCGCGGAAGAGGAGGAGGCGGATCGCGGAGATTGGGGCGGCGCAGATGCTCATCAACAGGATCGGCATGCCGGTGCGGAAGGTACCGCGGGGGCAGGACGACGGGGCGGAGTCGGACAGCGAATCACTCCCTTTTCTGGTTCGCCCTAATGACGACGATCTGCTCAACGACAGTCCCGAGTGCTCGCAAACACCGGCCGATGAAGAGGAAGAGTCGGCGTCTCTGCAGCAGCAGCAACAGCAGCAGGGAGAGGAGGAGGAGGAGCAGGGCCTGTTCGGAGGTCAGAGCCAAGGTGGG